CCTTGCAAAGTGCTGGGATTACAGGCATGAGCCACCATACCCAGCCTTAGAATAATTTTTTTAAGATAAATACCCAGTAATGGGATTGCAGGGTAAAACGGTAGTTCTAAGTTCTTTGACAAATCTTCAAACTGCTTTCCACATGGCTGAACTGATTTACATTCCTACCAGGAGTGCATAAGTGTTCTGTTTTTCCCGCAGTCTCATCAGCAGGTCTTTTGTTGACTTTTTAACAAATATTTACTCTGACTAGTGTAAGATGATATCTCACTGTGGTTTTGATTTGCATTGCTCTGATTATTCATGATGTGGAGCATATTTTCACATTTGTTGGTGCTTGTAAGTCCTCTTTGGATATGTATCTGTTCATGTTTTTGCTCATTTTTAAATAGGCTTATCTGTTTTCTGCTTGTTTATATTTCTTACATATTCCAGAAATTAGACCTTTCTCAGATCTATAGCTTGCAAATATTTTCTCTCATTCTATAGATTTTCTGTTTATTCTGTTCATAGTTTCTTTTGCTGTGCAGAAGCTTTTTGGTTTAATTAAGCCCTACTTGTCAATGTTTGTTTTCCCAGAAGTTGCTTTTGGGGACTTAGCCAAAAATTATTTCTCAAGGCGAATATCCAGAAATACATTTCCTAGGTGTTCTTGTAGAATTATTTTAGTTCAAAGTCTCAAATTTAAATCCTTAATTGATCTTGTGTTAAGTTTAGTATACGGCCAAAGGTATAGATCTAGTTTTACTCTTCTGCATATGAGTACCTAGTTTTCTCAGCACCAGAATAGGGAGTTTTTCTCTATTGCTTATTTTGCCAGCTTAGTTAAAAATTAGATGGCTGTAGGTGTGCAGGTCTATTTTGGAGTGTTGTATTCTGTTCTATTGGTCTGTGTGTCTGTTTTTGTACCAGTATCATGCTGTTTTGGTTACTACAGCCTTATAGTATTTTGGAAGGTGGACAGAGTGATGTTTCTGGCTTTCGGACAGAGTTGATTTTCAGTCCCAGCCAACTGCTTAGTAGCTATGGGACAGTTATATAAACCACATCTGCAAGAAAAGGCATAATAAAATTGATTGCATAATTGACAATATTTTTTGGCCAGGCACAGTGGCTGAAATCTCAGCACTTTGGGAGGCCAAGATGGGTGGATCACCTGAGGTCAGGCGTTTGAGACCAGCCTGGCCAACATGGGGAAAGATTGTCTCTACCAAAAATATAAAAAATTAACCAGGCATGGTGGCATGCACCTGTAAACTCAGCTATTCCAAAGGCTGAGGCAGGAGAATCACTTGAACCTGGGAGGCGGAGGTTGCAGTGACCCAAGGTAGACAAATTTTTAAAAATTTCTTCTTGTATTCATGCCCTCGGCAATGGCTTTTATAGTAGTTCCAATCAAGAAACAGATTCTGCTTCCCAAACCTTGAATCTTTCTTGCCTTATTTGCACAGGCCAAAACTGTGCACATGACAGTGTGTCACTTTGGTACCTAGGTTCAAACAGTTTTAAATGCTTCTGTTTTCTTTTTCAGAACTCTTTCATCTCTGTGACAACAAGCCCATTTTAGCTTGCTGGAGGCTACAATACCATAAGAAGAAAAGCCTAGGTGCCACACACTTAGTGAGCCAGACAGTTCACTCCCAGAAACAGAGCCACCTAATTCACCAGCAGCTGAACACTCATACCTGACGGAGCCAAGCTGAGCTCAGAAGAACAGCCCTGCTGAGCACAGCCTAAATTTCTAGCCACCTCAATCATGAGCTAGTATGTTCTGGGACTGTTTGTTATGCAGTTATAGCCTACTAATGTATATACCTATTAAAGACAGAATGCCAGGACAGATTGATTACAAATAACCTGCAAATGCTTGGCACCCTATAAGTAATGATTTTTTTCCCCTTTATTTAAAGTTAGATTTCTTGTAAAATGGTATCAAGTTATTCAGAAGTGAGTTAGGAGAATAGGGTGTGGAAGCAGGGAACTTAAGGCCAATTAGTGCTGACTTCCTAAACTAAAAAAAGGTCTGGGGGCAGAGAACCTAAGGCCAATTAAGGACAACTTCCTACAGCTAAACCAAAAGAAAAAAAATCCCATCTCCCCACACCAGAGTGGCCTAGGATCAAAGGTTACTGTCGCTACAACCCTCCCCCTTCCACCAATTCTGATAGAAAAGGAGAATGCCTTGGAGTGGCCGTGGGCCAAGCACAGGCCATGCCTTCATCTGCATAGGGTGGCATTTCACCTCATTCTTTAATGAGTTAAGGACCAAATCCTTCATGCAGATAAGGGGTAGCTGATAGGGACCTCAAAAGGAATACTTAAAACCAATAAAACATTGTAACCAGATCATTAAGCCATTTGCTCTAGCCTAGGCCAACCCTGTGGAGTGTTTTCTCACTTCAATACATTTCTACTTTTTCTGCTTCCTTCCTGTGTTTTATTCCTTTGTTACTTTGTTCATTTTTCAATTCTTTGTTCAAAATGCCAAGGACCTGGACAACTCACATTCAAGGCTTCCTTCTGGGAACAGAAGTGCAGGTAGATGTGGATGCAGGTAATTGGTGGTTAAACTCACACAGTGCCCCACACCACCGGAGAAAAACACATAGTTATAGCCTGACAATTAGATCCAAAGATAAACAGCAAAATAAGAAGTTTGCCTTTAATCTATTCCCTCGGCATCTAAACTCTGGAGCCCAAGGCTGTGAAGAGATCTGAAGACATAGTGTTCTCTCCTCCTGTGGCCCCATCATTCTTTGTTTACTGTCTGATATTTGAAAGGAAGATGAACCCCTGAGAGAGGAGGGAGTCAGAGGCTGGTTAGGCAGATAGAGAAGGTGGGTCTTTGGAAAGGAAAAACACCGGCGGGACCGCATCTGCACCCGTCCCTGTAGCTAGCGGCAAGAAATGTGGTTAAGAACTTTCTTATGCCAGGTTGTTGCTCAGAAGGGACTACTTCAACTGAGGTTCAGGCACAATAAATCAACCTAAGTATCCTAAACTTGACCCAGCTTATTAGACTATCATTCACATGATATTAGCCTTGTTGTTTTAGCAGCACCCCGCCCCCATTCCTCCTTTTTCCAAGTTTTTGCTTAGGCATTCATGGGTAATAGCCAAGATGGAATCACTGTGGCCAACTCCAGGCATGCTCAGATGCAACACTCTTAGTGGGGAACTTTACCCCCCACATTTGGACAGAACCCACAGAAGGCTTCCTTTCTCTTGCCCCATAAAAGACCCAGAACTCAGCTGGGCAAGGTGGCTCACACCTGTAATCCTAACACTTTGGGAAACGGAGGCAGGCAGGTCACCTGAGTTCAGGAGTTCAAGACCAGCCTGGCCAAAAACATGGCAAACCTCATCTCTACAAAAATACAAAAATTAGCCAGGCATGATGGCAGGTGCCTGTAATCCCAGCTACTTGGGAGGCTGAGGAAGGAGAATCACTTGAACTGGGGAGGCGGAGGTTGCAGTGAGCCAAGATCAGGCCTGGGTGACAGAGCAAGACTGTCTCAAAAAACAAAACAAAACAAAAAACAGAAAATCCCCAAAAAACCAGAACTCAGCCCCATTTCTGGCAACCTGCTTTCAGGTCCCCTCTTGCTGCTGAGAGCTTTCCTTTCTTGGTCATGGACAAGAGCCTGGATGTGGCTGAACTGACGAGACCACCACACCTCCACCAAACGGCAACTGGGAGACTGTGGTCTTCATGTGGCTGCTCTCAGCTTGCAGCCACTGTTCTCTCTAGGGGCACTGTCCCACCCACCCTTGAGCCTGAGGAGAAAAGTTGGTAGAGAGGCTGCTCCCTCACTTCCAGCAGCAAAGAGGTGTTCAGGCCCTCACCTCCCTGAGGTCACAGCCCTCATGGCTGCACTCAGTATGGCAGCCACCTGACATATGCAGCTACTGGGTACCTGCAATGTGGCTGGTTTTAAGTAAAATGTGCTGCAAACATAAAATACACAGTGAGTAAAGAGTAATTAGATCAAAAATATACTTTATTTCTAATTACATATTGATCACATATTAAAAAAATAATATATTGGATACAGTAGGTTAAAATTATCACAAATAATTTCACTTGTTTCTTTTTATTATTTTTGATGTGGCTAATAAAAAGTTAAAAATTCACAAATAGCTAACATTTTACTTTTTTAGAGGATTACTTCCTTCTTAAAAATCTCAGGTGTCCTACTCAAAAGACCAGAGGCAAAAAAGTTTATAAAACACTAAAATAATTGTCATTATATGGCTGCCATTTGTGAACAAGTGGGTGTGTACATGCGTGCATGTGCGTGCATGCATGTGTGCGTCTGCACAAGTGTGCATGTGTGCACGTGCCCGTGTGCGCGCGTGTTGTGTGCGCGTGCGTGTGTGCGTGCACGTGTGTGCGTACAACTTATATTATAAATGGACTTAACCTTACACACCACAAGGTTAAAAAATGACCATAGGCTGTGCCAAGCCAAACACTGATAAAACCCGGCCTGGGCCAGGCTCGGTGGGTCACGCTTTTAATCCTAGCACTTTGGGAAGCCCAGGAGAGCAGATAACCTGAAGTCAGAAGTTCAAGACCAGCCTGGCCAACATCGTAAAACCCCATCTCTACTAAAAACACAAAAATTAGCCGGGCGTGGTGGCAGGCACCTGTAATCCCAGCTACTTGGGAGGCTGAGGCAGGACGGAGGCTGAGGCAGGACAATGGCTTAAACCCAGGGAGCGGAGGTTGCAGTGAGCAGAGATCGCGCCATTGCACTCCAACTTGGAGGAGAAGAGTCAGACTCCGCCTCAAAAAAAAAAAAAAAAAAAAGCCTGAAAGCCCGCGAGGCCGGAGCCTGTCCCTTTCTCCTCACTCAGTACAGTGTATGGTTGCAATTTCTGTCACTCAAGGCCTGAGGGCGGGGATTGGAGTACTATCCAATCAGAGTGCTGGAGTGACAACTGCCCAATCAGGCGAGCAGCCAAAGAGGCGGGGGCGGCATCCGGGATCTGGCGGGGCCTTTGTCGCGTTAGACCTTCGCCGCCTTGTGTCCTCGGCTCCCGGAGGCCCCGGTGATTCTGCCACAGCCTCGGCCTCCGTCGCTCCGTGAGCTGCGGGCATCGGATGATTCGTAGCTAAGACTCCGCGACACCCTGAAGCCCAGAAATGGTGAGTGTGCGGGGGCAGGGCGTCCCGAGGCTGGGGAGGCCTCATCGGAACCGGCGGGAAATGGCGGCGGCGGGACCGAGACTGTGAGCCGAGTCCCGGCTGCCGCCGCTCAGCCGTCGGTCCTCAGTCCCCTCCGGTGAGGGACCCGGGCTCCCGTCGGTCCCCGCACGGCGGCTCTGGCCCAGCCTGCAGCCCTTCTTGTGCAGCTCTGCGCCCGCAGCCCGCATCCTCCCCGGGCTGTGAGGTGAGGCGGAGCTGATCGGGAAGACGCCGGCGCGGCGTGCGCGGTGCCTGCGTGGGAGGCGCTGTGGTCCTGGGTCCCGTCCCTACTGGACCCTGTTCGGAATTAGAGGGAGGCTCTGTGAAAACATGGAGTTCCTGTGAGCAAACGGGGACTCATGGATGGGACAGCCCCGGCCGTGGCTCGTGGTTTGGGGGCTGCCCGCGGGCCTTGAAAGAAAGACTTTTGTGAGGTGTGTGAGGGAGCGAAGCGAATCACCCGCCCGCCCCGTCTTTCCCGCCAGTTCCCTCGCTCTGAGCGTCTCCTCCGCTTGGCGTTCCTGAGGGGCATCTTTTAGAATACACCGGCGGAGGTGCGCCCAGCGCTTCGCTGAGTTCTGAGTAGTTCTGCCACGTGATTGAACCTGAGGAGGGTGGGGGCGCCCTTGGTTTGTAGGCGGGCGTTCAGAAATGAAGACGGGTGTCCAGAGGCAGGGACTGGCGTCTGCGGGGGACAGCTGCGGGAAGAGCGCTGAGCTTGTGGGGTCGGCGCTGACTCTGGGTGGTGTCGTTAGTGAGTTGCTGGACGTCCCGTTGGGGCTGGAGTGTTGACTGGTGTTGAGCAAACTGAACGTTTTCTCTCAGAAGAAAGACATGGCTGAGTCTGCGCTGGAGGGAGATGCCGGGTGTCCGCTGGAAACCCGGCCGGGTTCTGCACATGCGCTGTCCCACTGGTCACTGTCCTGTTCCTCCAGGTCTCCTCCCAGGGAGAGAGGGGACTGGGAACTTAGAGGAAAGGAGTTCTGAGAATTATCCCTTCCCTGCACCCTGCTGCCAGTCCTGTCCAAATGTTAACCCACTCCTGAGCACGCCCACTGGGAATTTGCACGGCCACACCCTTCCCAGGACAGTGTTCTACTCTCAGGAATTGTGCTAATGGCAGCTTTGCACTTAGAATATTCTGCCAAAAACACACGCAGTGCCCAGAAGTTTCCTGGCTCATCTCAACCCCAGACACTGGATCTGTAGCAGGAGCCTGTTTCCTTTACCCACCCATGCTTCTGGACCACCTGATCCTAATGTCTTCTGCCTTTATGGACACACAAATCAGTCAGAGCATAGCCCTGCCTGGGCCTGTACCTGTATCACAAACCAGTGCTTTAGTCAGTCCTGTCCTGCCCCCACCCATGTCTCTTGATAGCTCATTTCTCTCTTCCTATTTTAACTTCCCCACAAATCCTCTTCCCTGTGCCCACAGTGTGTCTAAGTTCATCCCTTACATGCAAGTGTTTTCTTTTTTTTTTTTTTTTTTGAGATGGAGTTAAACTCTTGTCACCCAGGCTGGAGTGCAGTGGCATGATCTTCGCTCACTGCAACCGCTGCCTTCCCAGGCTAAGTGATTCTCCTGCCTCAGCTTCCCCTGTAGCTGGGATTACAGGTACCTGCTACCACTACTGGCTGATTTTTTTGTTGTTGTTTTTTTGTTTTTTAGTAGAGATGGGGTTTCCCCATGTTGGCCAGGCTGGTCTCAAACTGCTGACCTCAAGTGATCTGCCCACCTTGGCCTCCCAAAGTGTTAGGATTACAGGCGTGAGCCACCGTGCCCAGCCACGTGCAAGTATTTACACTGGTTTTTGAAATATATGTAAATCATTTTTATCAGTTGAATAGGTTATTTGTCTTTTCTGACTCAGACGTGTCTTTAGGACCTGGGAAGTATTGCTTTGAAATGTAAATAGCAAGAATATATACCCTATTCCATAATTTCTGTGGGAAGGTAGGAGGCTGCCTTCAGCAGGCACTTTGCTCCACATTGCAAATCTCCATCCTGTCACGAAGATGTGGGAAGTTTATTTTTCCTTAGAATATTACCAATTAGAAAACTCAGGTGACCTCCCAAATTACTAGGTGAAGTTGTAATAAACTGTGTATGACAGATGGTGCTTTCAAGTCTTTTAGTTGAGAACTTGATGGTACTTTTTTCTGTGTTTGCAGTCTCTTAGTAAATTGGCTGTGATGCACATCACATTTTGATTTAATTATATAACAACATTTTATTGCTGTTCTATTATGGTGGAGAGTTTTTTTAGGATTGGAGTTTCTTTTTGTTTGTTTGTTTGTTTTTTTTTGACAGTCTTGCTCTGTCATCATGCTGGAGGGCAGTGGTGCAATCTCAGCTACTGCAGTCTCCACCTCCCAGGTTCAAGCAATTCTCTTGCCTCAGCCTCCTGAGTAGCTAGGGTTACAGGTGCATACCACTACACCCAGCTACTTTTTTTTTGTATTTTTAGTAGAGACGGGGTTTCACTATGTTGGCCAGGATGGTCTCAATCCCCTGGCCCCGTGATCTGCCCACCTCGGCCTCCCAAAGTGCTGGGATTACAGGCATGAACCACCATTCCTGGCCGATAATTTTTCTTTTAGTTATATTTTCCACACACGGTCCAGAATTACCAGATGTTATACACAAAGTGCCCACCAGGCTTTACTTGAGAGAAGAATCTTTGTTCTCAGGATTCCAGTCACAACACACAATTGTGCAACAAAGTACAGCAAAGTGCTTCTCAAAGCTGCAAATAAAATGGTCTCTCTTTTTGGGATCTGCAGTCCCTTGTAGAGCAGTTATACTTGATTTCTGCAAAAATAACTACAGGACAGCAAACTGTTATTTCACCTCTTTCATTGCTTCTGTCATCTTCAGATCTGACTCTGATTCAGAAATCGTGGGGCTGATAAACCCAGCAAGTATTATACATGTGCATTAATTAAACTTGAAAACTTTAATTCTCTTCCTCCTCCCTTTGCTCAAATGCCCATAAATGTGCACAGCTCACCAGCCCTCCAAGACCTAAATGTACAGTTCCAAATTCTGAATTTATGTCTTGGGATTTGAGAGAAGAAAAGAACTTTTTTTTTTGAGATGGAGTTTCACTCTTGTCACTCAGGCTGGAGTGCAACGGCATGATCTTGGCTCACTGCAGCTTCCGCCTCCTGGGTTCAAGCAATTCTCCAACCTCAGCCACCTGAGTAGCTGGGATTATAGGCGTGTGCCACCACACCCAGCTAATTTTTGTATTTTTAGTAGAGATGGGGTTTCACCATATTGGACAGGCTGGTCTCAAACTCCTGACCTTGTGATATGCCCGCCTTGGCCTCCCAAAGTGCTGGGGTTATTTTGAGAGAGTGTCTCTCTCTGTCACCAGCCTGGAGTGTAGCGGCACAATCTCGGCTCACTGCAATGCAACTCCTGCCTCCCAGGCTCAAGTGATTTTCCTGCCACAGCCACCGGGCTAGCTGGGACTACAGGCACCCACCACCACACCCAGCTAATTTTTCTATTTTTAGTAGAGACAGGGTTTCACCATATTGGCCAGGCTGGTCTCAGACTTCTGACCTTGTGATATGCTCACCTCAGCCTCCCAAAGTGCTGGGATTACAGGCGTGAGCCACCGCACCTGGACCCAAAAAGAAACTTTATCTATGTTTTTTTAATTATCGAACCCAGAGATTTGTTAAAATGAGACCACAGTCATATACTGTTCTCCTCTTTGAACTATTTGTCTTTTGAAATTCCTTGCTATTGGCACAAGTGGCTATCAACCCAATAATGCCACACTGAACACTGTAACCCACACCCTATAGCTTAACAATGTATATAGCCAATCACTAACCAATGTTACTTCTGTAAACCAATAAAAATTTCTGACAACTTTCTATCAGTTCCCTCTCTGCCTTCCTTTTTGCCTTTACAAATATATTTGTGATTGGAGTGTATATTCAGGGCAGCTTTATGCTCTAGAGTTGCAATCTTCAAGCTTTGCCCGCCCACCCCCCGCCCACCCCAAAAAAAAACCAACTCTCTACTTATGTTTATCCTAGCTTTTCCTTTCAGGTCAAAATATTCTTTAGAATGTGTTGAAGGAGCCTCCATGAGAGGATCTCTCTGGTTTTACTCTGCTTGCGGTATCCCCTAAAAATGCAGAGGCACATTGATCCCACCTAGGATCTGGACATATAAGTTGGCCTCTGCCTAGGATTCCCAAGACTGTGGATTAAAGACATACAGAAAACTCACAGAACACTTTTTCTGCATAATGAGAGGTCAACATAGACATCTTAAGCCCCATTTTTAGAGTGGAGCCCTTTGAGTTTTCCAGGTCTTGTTCAGTGACCTGCTACAGCTGTGTGTGAGAGGCTTCTGATGTGAATAGAATCCTGTGGCAGAATCTGTTAAGTGTAAACAAGCCTCTTAGCAGTGGGAAGTCAAACCCACAAAGTATCCAGAGCCATAATGACAACCATAATCACAAGTGTGCCTTCCTTCTGTATACTGTGTTGCAGAAATACAGTACTTTGTCCTTCCCCTTACCTCAGAGTTAGCTGATCAGGGACAGGGTTTATCACATGTGGACCCAGGATCTGCAAGTCCACCAGGGCAGCTCTATTTGCACCCTATAAAGTCAGCCCGAGTGTCTCCTCCCTGGATTACTATGGGGGCATTGCATTGACCAAAGGTCACTGGGGACACTCTTACTAGCATCTTTGAGTAATTGAGATATTAGGGGATGTCCTGTGCAGACTGGGGTCAGTCTGACAAGAAGGTCTAATTCTGCTCCCATTCCAGAGGAAGAGAAATGACTCATCCAGGGTTTGTTCTTCCCTCACAGAAAGAATCTCCTTGAATTGTACCCAGATAAGAATTGCTCCAGTTTTGTGGTTCTTCGGTGAAAAATGAGGAGATCTGGAGACTCAAACTCATCAATAAGCTAATTGCTTCTATTTTCTATGGTCATTAGAAAAAGACATGAAGCAGTCATGGTCTCTACCATCAAGGAACTTGCAGTCTAGAGCATATGAATAAATGGTCGAATTTAGCATCATGTGTTCAGTACCAAGACAGAAACTGTACAGGAGACTTAAGCTTCATTTGGATTATTTCCCTTTTCCTGTTTTGTGAGTGTTGATGCCACCACCTGATTGGCTATTCATTGACAGAAGAGAAGTTGTTATTATTATTGTTTTCACCTTGCTGAGAATAAATAATTAGCTTCTAATATAATTCGTCTAGAAAAACATGAGGGTTTTGGAACTCTGGGAATCAAATTTCTTTTGGGCAGGCTTAGAAAAAACAAAACTGAAAATACTTATGGGCATAGAGAGCAGATGCCTAGGGTCCTCCTTCTGTCCCAACCCTGCCCAGATCCACCCTCTGATGAACCTTGTCCAGATATGAAATTTCTCACAGAACTGCTTAGAGATCAGAGTTTAGGGTGGCTATTTCTACTGCCTCTCCAGAGCTGGTGCTCACAATTCCTGAAACCCAAAACCTGATCAATGAGGAAAAGCTATATACTTTTGTGCCTTAAATTCTTTTTTATAAAATTAAAATCAGTGTTTCTAGAGACATCCCATCCAGCAACCTGTTCTCCATCTCTGCAGTTTCAAGTGTTTTTTTCACAAGTCTCAAAACTAAATACAAACACAAAAGTAAAAAATTCCTCTGAATTGCACTTAATAGTTCCTTTCTGCATCTTTCCTATCTATATTGCATCTTTCCTATCTACATTTCCTATCTATAGATATTTCCTATCTATATTTTATGCATTAAAAAAAAAATCAACGATAAGAAAACAGAAGAACAAATGGAAATGCTGGGGCCCTGCATTTAAATCTTGGGAAGTATGGGACACTTAGTACCTTCTTTTCAGGATGTTACAGAATTAACACACATAATGTGAACTTCCCAGCACACTGCTCTGTGACATACTTTGGGCATATAGTACATGCTCCATAAAGATCGCATTAATGAATGTGCATGTTTTTCAAATGCAGACTTAGTCACACATTGCCACCATCTCCTGTCTTTGTAAACTTTAAAAGGCCTGCAGAGAATGCCATGTTTCAAAATGATGATTGGTAGTCTTGTCTTCAAATGTAAAGTATTTGTGTTGTGATAAGGTTGTTGGGGTTAGGGACTCTGTGCTTGTGTCTACGTTCTCTGGCCGAGTGGTATTTTAATGGATCCAGAGAGAGGAATGTCAGCATTAATGGCAGACTTGCAATAAGAAGCTAATTCATGGACCCTTTTTAAACCTGCAGAATGTTGTTACTTACAGTGAGGCTTTGAATACCAAGTAACTTATATGCACATTGAACTTTAGAGGCAATGCTTGGCTGAGTGACTCTTAGCCTAGTCTTCCAGTAGGATCACATGGACAGTTTGAAGAGAAACCATCACCATTGCCTTCACCACAGATCCTATCTATTTTTCTGGGTGGAAAAATTTCTGCTTCTTAAATTCCTCACATGATTCTACCACACGGCCAGGGTCAAATATGAGGGCTTCCAGATACTTTAATGAGAAGTGAGTTTACCCTTTGTTCCAGTAAGTCACACAGGGCCTGCTCTGCTTGGTTTTGGTAGGAGCAGATCAGTGTATCCCATATTTCCATTGCAGCAACAGAAAGGCATGCCCTCCTTTTTCCTCAGACTTATAGAATACTTTAGAGAACATTACTGAGTTGAAAGTTATTTTATCAGATAATTCCAGTCAGTCTCATAAGTCAGAACTAGTTCTCTTAACTCGTTTCACCTGTAGTCAAATTAAGAACTCGGTCACAGCCGGGCACAGTGGCTCACGCCTGTAATCCCAGCACTTTGGGAAGCCAAGGCGAGCGGATCACCTGAGGTCAGAAGTTCAAGACCAGCCTGGCCAACATGGTGAAACCCTGTCTCTAAAAATCAGCTGAGCATGGTGGCGGGTGCCTGTAATCCCAGCTACCTGATGCAGAAGAATTGCTTGAGCCTAGGAGGCAAACGTTGCAGTGAGCCAAGACTGTGCCACTGCACTGCAGCCTGGGCAACAGAGTGAGATGCCATAAAAAATGAAAAAAAAAAAACAAAAAACAAAAAAACTCTGTCACTTGCTAAATATGTATTTTCAGGAACTCTTAACATTCAGGGATGTGGCCATAGAATTCTCTCCAGAAGAGTGGACATATCTGGACCCTGCCCAGCAGAATTTATATAGAGATGTGATGTTGGAGAACTACAGAAACCTGGTCTCCCTAGGTGAGGATAACTTTAATATGTAATTCCTAATACTTTTTCAGAGTTTTATTTTCTTCCTTTGTAGAATGTCTCTTGGGAGCTTCTGCTTTGTGTGGTTCACGCCTGTAATCCCAGCACTTTGGGAGGCGAAGGTGGGAGGATCATGAGGTCAGGTGTTCGAGACTAGCCCAGCCAACATGGTGAAACCCCATCTCTACTAAAAATACAAAAATTAACCAGGTGTGGTCATGCACACCTGTAATCCCAGCTATTCAGGAGGCTGAGACAGGAGTATCACTTGAACCAAGGAAATGAGATTGCAATGAGCCGAGACCGCACCACTGCACCCCAGCCTAGTGTAAAAAATAAAATCTTTTTTTTTTTCCTGTTTATTTCTTTTTCTTATTTTTTTTCTTGCATTTTAGGTTTTGGGGTACATGTGAAGAACATGCAAGATCGTTGCATAGGTACACACATGGCAGTGTGATTTGCTGACTTTCTCCCCTTCACCTATATCTGGCATTTCTCCCCATGCTGTCTCTCCCCAACTCCCCACCCCCCGCTGTCCCTCCCCTGTTTCCTCCCTACAGACCCCAGTGTGTGATGCTCCCCTCCCTGTGTCCATGTGTTCTCATTGTTCAACACCCACCTATGAGTGAGAACATGCGGTGTTTGATTTTCTGTTCTTGTGTCAGTTTGCTGAGAATGGTGGTTTCCAGGTTCATCCATGTCCCTACAGGGGACATCGTTTTTGATGGCTGCATAGTATTCCATGGTGTATATGTGTCACATTTTCCCTGTCCAGTCTGTCATCGATGGGCATTTGGGTTGGTTCCAGGTCTTTGCTATTGTAAAGAGTGCTGCAATGAACATTCGCGTGCATGTGTCCTTATAGTAAAAAGATGTATAATCCTTTGGATATATACCCAGTAATGGGATTGCTGGGTCAAATGGAATTTCTATGTCTAGGTCCTTGAAGAATCGTCACACTGTCTTCCACAGTGGTTGAACTAATTTACACTCTCCCCAACAGTGTAAAAGTGGTCCTATTTCTCCACATCCTCTCCAGCATTTGTTGTCTGCAGATATTTTAATGATTGCCATTCCAACTGGCTTGAGGTGGTATCTCAATGTAGTTTTGAATTGCATTTCGCTAATGAACAGTGATGATGAGCATTTTTTCGTATGTTTGTTAGCCTAATGTATGTCTTCTTTTGTAAAGTGTCTGTTCATATCTTTTGCCCACTTTTGAACAGGCTTGTTTGTTTTTTTCTTGTAAATCTGTTTTAGTTCTTTGTAGATTCTGGATATCAGCCCTTTGTCAGATGGGTAGACTGCAAAAATTTTTTCCCATTCTGTTGGTTGCCAATTCAGTCTAATGACTGTTTCTTTTGCCATGCAGAAGCTGTGGAGTTTGATTAGATACCATTTGTCTATTTTGGCTTTTGTTGCCAATGCTTTGGTGTTTTGGTCATGAAGTCCTCCTTGCCTACACCTATGTCCTGAATGGTTTTGCCTAGATTTTCTTCTAGAATTTTTGTGGTGTTAGTTCTTATGTTTAAGTCTTTAATCCATCTGGAGTTTATTCTAGTGTAAGGTGTCAGGAAGGGGTCCAGTTTCTGCTTTCTGCACATGGCTAGCCAGTTTTCCCAACACCATTTATTTAACAGAGGATCCTTTCCCCATTGCTGTTTTTGTCTGGTTTGTCAAAAATCAGATGGTTGTGGATATGTTGTGTTGCCTCCAAGGCCTCTGTTCTGTTCCATTGGTCTGTATCTCTGTTTTGGTACCAGTACCATGCTAAAGTAGTCCAGTAGTGTGATGCCTCCCGCTTTGTTCTTTTTGCTTAGAATTGACTTGGCTATGCGGCCTCTCTATTGGTTCCATATGAAGTCTAAGGTGGTTTTTTTCAGTTCTTTGAAGAACGACATTGGTAGCTTGATGGGGATAGTGTTGAATCTGTAAATTACTTTGGGCAGTATGGCCATTTTCATGATATTGATTCTTCCTAACTATGAACATGGAACGTTTCTCCATCTGTTTGTGTCCTCTCTTATTTCGTTGAGCAGTGACTTGTAGTTCTCCTTGAAGAGGTCCTTTACGTTCCCTGTTAGTTGTATTCCTAGGTATTTTATTCTCTTTGTAGCAGTTGTGAATGGCAGTTCGTTCTTGATTTGGCTCTCTTTAAGTCTGTTATTGGTGTATAGGAATGCTTGTGATTCTTGCACATTGATTTGATTTTGTATCCTGAGACTTTGCTGAAGTTGCTTATCAGATTCAGGAGATTTTGGGCTGAGACGATGGGGTCTTCTACGTATGCAATCATGTCATCTGCAAATAGAGACGATTTGACTTCCTCCGTTCCTATTTGAATACGCTTTATTTCTTTTTCTTGCCTGATTGCTCTGGCTAGAACTTCCGGTACTATATTGAATAGGAGTGGTGAGAGAGGGCATCCTTGTCTAGTGCCAGATTTCAAAGGGAATGCTTCCAGTTTTTACCCATTCAGTATGATATTGGCTGTTGGTTTGTCGTAAATAGCTTTTATTATTTTGAGATACATTCCATCAATACCTACTTTATTGAGGGTTTTTAGCATAAAGTGCTGTTGAATTTTGTTGAAGGCCTTCTCTGCATCAATTGAGATAATCATGTGGTTTTTGCCTTTGGTTCTGTTTATGCGGTGAATTACATTTATAGACTTGCATATGTTGAACCAGCCTTGCATCCCCGGGGTGAAGCCTACTTGATCATGGTGGATACGCTTTTTGATGTGCTCTTGCAATCAGCTTGCCAGTATTTTTTTTTTTTGAGACGGAGTTTCGCTCTTGTTACCCAGGCTGGAGTGCAATGGCGCGATCTCGGCTCACCGCAACCTCTGCCTCCTGGGTTCAGGCAATTCTCCTGCCTCAGCCTCCTGAGTAGCTGGGATTACAGGCATGCGCCACCATGCCCAGCTAATTTTTTGTATTTTTAGTAGAGACGGGGTTTCACCGCGTTGACCAGGATGGTCTCGATCTTTTGACCTCGTGATCCACCCGCCTCGGCCTCCCAAAGTGCTGGGATTACAGGCTTGAGCCACCGTGCCCGGCCTTATTGATTTTTTTTTGAAGGGTTTTTGTGTCTCTGTCTCCTTCAGTTCTGCTCTGATCTTAGTTATTTCTTGTCTTCTGCTAGGTTTTGAGATTTTTTGATAAAAAATAAAATCTTTAGTGTGTTTCATCTTTACGTAAACCTTCTTTTGAGCTAATTTGTGTCCTTCACTCTAGGTTAGTGGTAATTCTATAAATTAAATGACATAAAGTATTGTCTTTCACATCTTAAAATGCAATTTGCACCACTTATTTTTGATTCAGTAGTACTTGGTAGTGGAGCTTAAAGCCCACAGATTTAAAATATTTAAATATTCTTTTGGTTTTTTTTTTTTGAGACAGAGCCTTGCTCTGTCACCCAGGCTAGAGTGCAGTGGCATGATCTTGGCTCACTGCAACTTCCACCTCCTGGGTTCAAGCAGTTCTCCTGCCTCAGCCTCCCAAGCAGCTGGGATTATAGGCACCTGCCACTGCACCTGGCTAATTTTTGTATTTTTAGTAGAGATGGGGTTTTGCCATCTTTGCCAGCCTGTTCTGGAACTCCTGACCTCGTGATCCTCCTGGCTCGGCCTCCCAAAGTGCTGGGATTACAGGCGTGAGCCACCATGTCCAGCCAAAATACTTAAATATTCTAAAGATTAATTTTCTAGAATCTTCCATAATTTCTCTATTCTACTAATCATAGTGCTATGTTGGTAATTGGAGTATCCCCAGCAATAGTCATGTTAAATTTTTTTTAATAAAACAGGTGTGGCTATCTGTAACCCAGACCTGGTCACCTGTCTGGAGCAAAGAAAAGAGCCCTGCAATGTGAAGATACGTAAGACAGTAGCCAATCCCCCAGGTAGGTGACAGTGAACAAAGGAGAGGACACAGGCAAGGAGGCCAAAGGTCAAGAAGGAAGCCTGGCCTTAACATATAGTTTGGGAAGCTCTGTGCCAATAAAAATAATTTCTGAAAAGGCTGCATTTTTTCTCATATTCACAAATAAGGTCATTTTCTGTCCCATGCTCTTAAATCTAATAATTCTGTTTTTCCTTTAGTGAGCTCCCTCAAGTTTACAGTGAAAGCCATTGTCTACTTTATCACTTATAAAGGGCTCCATGATCTGACTGTTGTTCCATTGCTTTTGGAGACCTGGGACTATTTGTATAATTGAGGAGCTCTATGTTAAAGGTATTTTTGTCTTCCAAATACTGTTTTTTGCATCATGTCTAAAATGTGTAAGGTGAGTAGTGGACATATTGAGATTTGGTTCAGAAATCCCAGGAACACATGTTGGACATCTCTTCTGCTTAGTGATTTTTAATCCTATAGAGGTTACAAATGTAATTCTACAAAAATTCTTACTCAGCAATTTTATCAGAACAATAAGCATTTTTGTAAATCTGAAAAAATGTAATTTTATTTTACTTCAAAATATTATTGTTTTAATGTAAACTGAAATTTGTATTTTAAACTCTATTTTTGGAAGTTTTCAAATTATTTAAAGCACAGGTTTCCAACCTTTTGGCTTCCCTGGACCACACTGGAAAAAAACCAGTCTTGGCCACACATGAAATACGCTAACATTAATAATAGCTGATGAGGAAAAAAAGAAAAAAAAGGTTTGTGAATAATTTTTGTGATATCCACCACCACGGATAAGCAAAAATGTCCTCACATTCAAAGGGTTGCACCACTGGTTTAAAGTATCTACTCACTTTCTAGATTTCTTTAATGCACTGTGTCGTTAACCAGCTTAGAGTATTGCTTAGTGTATATTAAGCTCTCCATTGTTTCCTTATTTCTTAATAGCTATTATCTTATAATTTTATCTTATTTAGTAGGAAGCCTTCTGAAATTCTCTGTTATTCAGATCTATCTCTATATAAAAATGTGTGTCTCACACACATACACACACCTATATAAGTTATATATGTGTATAGTAAATTCTCACTTAACTTTGTTGATAGGTTCTTGGAAACAGTAAGTGAAGCAACATATTGTGTGAGAAAACTAATTTTACCAGAGTATAATTGATATAAACAAGAGTTATGTTTGCATGACATACAGCAACATTGCTTCATTTAATGATGTAGTTTTCAAGAACCTATTTTGAACATAAAGCGAGGGCTTACTGTACATCCATGTTTGTGACTTGGATTTTTCTGATAAATAAAAAAGTTGTATAACTATTTAATGTGTACAGTGTAATGGTTTAATATATATAGTAAAATAAAATATAGTCAAGTTGATGAACACATCTATTACCTCACGTAGATAAGCAATTTTTTTTTTTTTGAGACTGAGTGTCGCTCTATCGCCAGGCTGGAGTGCAGTGGCGCGACCTTGGCTCACTGCAGCTTCCGCCTCCCAGGTTCAAACAATTCTCCTGCCTCAGCCTCCCGAGTAGCTGGGACTACAGGCAGGTACCACCATGCCCAGCTAATTTTTTTGTGTTTTTAGTAGAGACGGGGTTTCACCGTGTTGGCCAGGATGGTCTTGATCTCTTGACCTCATGATCCGCCCGCCTCGGCCTCCCAAAGTGCTGGGATTACAGGCATGAGCCACCGTGCCCACCAGCAATTTTTTTTGTAGTAAGAACACTTAAGGTCTACTGTTGTAGCAAATCATAAGCATACATTACAGTATTACTAACTATAAACACAATACTATTTTGCTGATCTAATGGGGATGTACTTTAGGTTTTTCAGAGTTACTCAGCTTATAACTAAAAATTTGTATTCTTTGAACGTGAGTGACGTCTCTATTTCCCACCCTCTGGCACTGATAACCACCATTCTGCTCTCTGCTTCTATGAGTTTACATTTTTAGGTTTCTCATCTAACTGAGAAGATGCAGTTTCTTTGTCTATCTGTGTTTGGCTTATTTTATTAGGATAACCCTCCAGGTCTATCCATGTTGTAAATGGCTAGATTTCCTTCTCTATTCTGGCTGAATAGTATTCTACTGTGTGTATATATACACACACACATATACTCTATTGTGTGTGTGTGTGTGTGTGTGTGTGTGTGTGTGTGTGTGTGTGTATATATATATATATTATATATATATAATTTTGTCTTATGTATTATATATATACACACTCTATTGCGTACACACACACACACAGATCCCATATTTTGGCCATTGTAAACAATACTACAATGAACATGGGGCTAAAGATACTTCTTTGAGGTACGAATTTTATTTCCCTTGGTAATATGCCCAGAATTGGTATTGCTGGATTATATACTTCTATTTTTATTTTTTAGTGTTTTGTTATGATGAATTTATTAATTTACTTCTCACCATCAGCATACAGATTTTCCCTTGTATGTATGTTTGTTTTGGGGGTGAAAAACTCGTTGTTTTGCTTTGAATTTCAGAAGTTTCTTGTACATTTTGGATTTTAACTTTTTATCAGATATGTGGCTTTCAAAGATTTTTCTATTTTGCATGGTTTAAAACAAATTTTTTTTCCCTTTGCTCTGTAGAAGCTGTTTACTTTGATGCAGTCTCACTTGTTTGTATGTTATTCTGTTGCTGTGCTTTTAATGTCGTATCAAAAAAGTTATTGCCAAGACCAATATCAACAAGGTTATTCCCTATGTTTTCTTCAGGAGTTTTAAGTTTTTATGTCTTACATTTAAGTCTTTTATTTTGAGTTGATTTTGGGGTATGGTGTAAGAAAATGATCTACTTTTATTATTTTGCTTGTGGATATCCAGTTTTTCCTGGCACCATGTATTGGCAAGACTATACTTTCTGCTTTGCATATTCTTGGTGCCCTTATCAAAGATTAGTTTATCTTGTATACATGGATTTGTTTCTAGGCTCTCTATTCTGTTTTATTGGTTTTTATATCTGTTTTTATGTACATACCATACTCTTGATTACTGTAACCTTCTTATAAAGTTTGAAATTAGAGTATGAGGTCCCAGCTTTGTTCTTTCTCCGTATTGCTCATGTTAAAGTTGTTGAAGGTTACACTTATGTTTTACAATTGTGTTTTCTATTACTGTGAAAAATTACACTAAAATTTTCACATTGAATATGTAGATCACTTTTGATAATATGGTACTTTGACAATATTAGTTATCCTAATGGAGTATGTTTCCTTTTATTTGTGTCTACTGTAATTTCTGTCAATATCTTATTGCATTTAATGTATACATGTTTAATCTCAGTTAAATTTGTTTTAATTAAGCTATTTAAAAAATTTTTTTATTGTACTTTAGGTTCTGGGGTACATGTGCAGATGATGCAGGATTGTTGCATAGGTACATACATGACAAGGTAGTTTGCTGCCTCCATCCCCCTGTCACCTATATCTAGCATTTCTCCTCATGTTATTTCTCCCCAACCTCCCCCCCCCCCCCCCCGGCTGTCCCTCCATTAGCCCTTGGCAACAGATCCCAGTGTGTGATGCCGTCCTTCCTGTGTTCATGTGTTCTCGTTCAACACCCACCTATGAGCGAGAACATGTGGTATTTGGTTTTCTGTCCCTGTGTCAGTTTGCTGAGAATTATGGTTTCCAGATTCATCAATGTCCCTACAAAGAACATGCACTCATCCTTTTTTATGGCTGCGTGTAGTATTCATGGTGTATATGTTCCACATTTTCTTTATCCAGTCTATCATCGATGGGCGTTTGGTTGGTTCCAGGTCTTTGCTATTGTAAATGGTGCCACAATGAACATATGTATATGCATGTGTCTTTATAATAGAATGCTTTATAATCCTTTGGGTGTATACCCAGTAATGGGAGTGCTGGGTCAAATGGAATTTCTGTTTCTAGATCCTTGAGGAATCGCAATACTGTCTTCTACAGTGGTTGAACTAATTTACACTCCCACCAGCAGTGTAAAAGTGTTCCTATTTCTCCACATCCTCTCCAACATCTGTTGTCTCCTGATTTTTTAATGATTGCCATTCTAACTGGCACAAGATGGTACCTCAGTGTGGTTTTGATTTTCATTTCTGTGATGACCAATGATGATGAACGTTTTTTCATGTTTCTTGGCCTCGTAAATGTCTTCTTTTGAAAAGTGTTCATATCTTTCACCCACTTTTGAATGGGTTAGTTTTTTTCTTGTAAATCTGCTTTAGTTCTTTGTAGATTCTGGATATTAGGTATTTGTCAGATGGGTAGATTGCAAAAATTTTTTCCCATTCTGTTGATTGTTGGTTCACTCTAATTTTTGTTTCTTTTGCTGTGCAGAAACTCTTAAGTTTAATTAGATCCCATTTGTCTATTTTGGCTTTTGTTTCTTTCTTTCTTTTTTTTTTTGGGAAGTTTGTTGTTACTATTTGAAAATGCAACAAATATTTGTATGTTGGACCAGGTCCAGTGGCTCATTTCTGTAATCCCAGCACTTTCAGAGGCCAAGGCTGGTGGATCACTTGAGCATAGGAGTTTAAGATGAACCTGGGCAACAGAGTATGAATTCTGAAAATCCGAGACAGGTCTCAGTTAATGTAGAAAGTTTATTTTGCCAAGGTTGAGGACTCATACCCATGACATAGCCTCAGGAAGTCCTTGACCCAAGGTGGTTTGGGCACAACTTGGTTTTATACATTTTAAGGAGACATGAGACATAAATCAATATATGTAAGATATACATTGGTTCCATCCTGAAAGGCAGGACAATTCAGGCAGGGATGGGGTTTCTAAGTCATAGGTATAGGAGAGAGAGACAAACTGCTGCATTCTTTGGAGTTTCTGATTTGCCTGTCCAAAGGAGGCAATCAGATGTGCATTTATCTCGGTCAGCAGAGGGATGACTTTGAAGAATGAGAGGCAGTTTTGCCCTAGGCAGTTCCCATCTTGACTTAGTGATTTTGGGGGCCCCAAGATTT